GGTCGTCGTGCAAGGACCAACGTAAACTAGCATTTGTTTTGGATTGTAGTTTAGCGTAGCACGCGTTACGTAGCAGAGTATGGCACGTATTAGACGATCTGATGTTTTGTACAATCTTCCTACCATGCGTTGGACAACATGTTACACGTGTACGCTACATCCAAATATCATGTAGCTGAGAGAACGTTTCGAGAAAACTTTCGAAGGTTGTCTTTAGAGAATAGACGTACGAGTGCGCGCGCAACGCATTATAGTACGCCCTCACCGCCGCTCGTGGCGTAGGAGGCGATTTTTTTACAGTTTCGTAGGTGATTATCATATTTCAAGGGCATCAGCAGCGATCGTGTAATACATCGCGCGGTAGGTGGTCGTGCGAGGACCAATGTATGCTAGCATTTGTTTTGGTTTGTACTTTAGCGTACCACGCGTTATGTAGCAGAGTATGGCACGTATTAGACAATCTGATCTTTTGTACAATCTTCCTACGACACGTTGCACAACATGTTGCACGTGTATGCTACACCCAAATGTCAAGTAGCCGAGAGAATGTTTCGTGAATATTTTCAAAGGTTGTCTTGAGAGAACGGACATACGAGTGCGCGTGCAATGCATTATAGTACTCGCACACCACGTGTGGCTGAATCCGGCAGGTCCCCTCAGAGAGCCATCTGGTGGGAGCCTTTAGCTCAGTCTCTTGCTGCCTTCCTTCCGATGGTCGTTCCCTTCGTGAACACTGACCACTGGATCAGCGCAGAAGCTCAAGACGCCTCCGGCAGTCAGTCACCGTCGTTCCTCGGCAGCCGCTCCCTCATAGGATATGCACTTCTTATCGTGACCGAGATGGCATTTAGTGACCTGTACAATAGGTCTCAAGGGAACTTTTAATGGGAGTTATCCTATCTCCCCTGGTTAATAACCATTAAAAGTGAACTTATTATTGATTTATGACCTCATTTTATTACCTTTGGCCTCAAAGTAACCATACTCATTAATTTATTAATACCTTGTTGCCTTATAGTGACACAAACCCACATGTTTTCAGAGAAAAACCTTAAAGGACAACTTAAAAAAACCAATGTCCAGTCATAAATTCATCTTTATGATGCTGTAAGCAGTTTAATAGGAATTTGCAAGGATAGCCACATTTGTTTACACAGATTAAAATTATTCATTAGTAATTGATGGTGATAAAAATAAAAAGCTCTAGGGTTAGGGTTAGGGTAGCCTGTAACCCTCAGTACATAACTGTCTGTGGTGCAAATACTTCTTACAAAAATTGTTTCTTACTAAATAAATTGTTCATAAGTTGTTTATATATGTGTGTGTGTGTGTGTGTGTGTGTGTGTGTGTGTGTGTGTGTGTGTGTGTGT